TACCTCTGTATGTTGCAGTTTACACAGATGGTAATACTGGTTTCCCCCACTTTATGCTGTACATGAGTTCCTGAAAAATGGCACATAACTCAAATTCACATAAAAGGAAACCACTTTACAATGTAACAAATAGGGATACGTTCCAGGACCTCAACTCTACTGACCCCCAGACCCATTTCTACCACATTTACAAGACAATTTTGGTACTCATCAACATCAGGCAGTTTACATAAGCACAGGGTGGTGGTGAATGTTTAGTTGGTGTGAAGAGAGGGTGGTGAAGGGGGTGTTAGTGTTAGTGAAGTTCTTTTGTACTTCATTGATGGACCCGGGAGAGGTGTAGGCTATAAGCTAGTGGGACTCTTAGAAGTCATAATGGGCATGGCAACCACAGAAACACACGTCACAGACAATGCGGGAGGAATACAGATCCACACAGGAGACTATATTTTGGTGCCCGTCACTCCCACAATGCACCGCACATAGCAGCTGACTGCAGGCTTCCACCACACCAATTGCATAAGAGTGAATTTATTTTTCATATAAGGAATTTTTGGTATGAAAAGAGTCATCGTATAAGAGCAAATTCAAATTTGCACATACAGTACCAGCATAAAGCGAGGGAAACATGTATATCTGTTCAGTATATTCATTGTATAATGGGAAACTATTGACTGTCATACAGGATGCCAGAAGTTGGAAGGCAAGTTGGACTGGTAAAGCTCATATACATCACAAAGATGAGATAGTAGATAATACTCACTCCTGATATGTTTTTCACAAGGAGATAGCTGGGTATTGAAATGGTTCCACCTGTGTCAAGCAGCTTATAGCTTTGGGATCCACCAAGATTGGGTTCTCAGTCCTCTCCGTAAGATAAGGCTCATAACTTACTCTTCTTCAGGGGATTATATCGGATATGCATACTATAACAATTTTCTATATACAGCTATTGCAACCTTAACTTGCATTTATTAAATTGGTCAAAACTGTGTTGACTCTGAAACAAACCATGCATTTACCCCTGTTGACCTTGGGGACCTAGGGTATCAATAAAAAAGGGGAAGGGGAACTTGGGGAAAAATATTATCAAGGGTGAATTTTATCAAGAATCCCAGAAGTTGCTAATAGGAGGAGAAGAGAAATGGCTGCTCTTTGACTGAGATGAGAATAGTTAACAAGGTACAGACAGCAATGTGCTCCAGGCATCATAGGCAATGTGTAGGGGGAACATGGGGGGCACATGCTTCCCCTGAGCCAATGTTGGCCTCTGTGGGCAGTTGCCACTTGCCACCTGCCCCTCCCCCCACCCCCTGCAACTGCTGATTCTGTGGGCGGTCCCTGCTCGCTGCTCCTCACCACACTACCCTGCTGCCGACACCACCTCCAGTAGCTGTGCGTGGTCCCCAGTCACCACTGCCACCGCCACCAATGCCGGTGGCTGCGGGCAGTTCCCGATCACTGCCATGGTGGCCCCCCAGTCTCGAGGGGCACCGGTCATTCATACCAGGCAGCATAAAAGAGATTATTTTTTCAAAAGTGCATCTTCTGCAGAGTAAAACCAGTTGTAACTTGGCCAGAAAACACAAAGGGTACAGATAGGAATTACATTTAGATTGACCTAACTAGAGTTAGGTCAATCTAAATGCCCATCTCTGCAAGAGTTCAGGGTGGTTTAATCACCCAAGAAATGATGGGCCTGATATAATTAGTTCACCTGAGGTAAACTAACGTGGACTGGAAATAGGTTAGCTCAATATATTAAACACCTGTATCCATTCACAGCACAGCCCTGGGGCTGGGAGTTCACCCCATTCCAAGGCTTTGCTCTTTCTACTGTACCCAATAGCCCTGACTGGGCTGTGTTTAGCCTCCCAACTCCCCTACCCTTGGAAAGGCAACCACCACCCACACTGTGGACCCAACAACAATCTACCTGTTGACCTGCTAGCCCCCACAATCTCTCCCACTCCAAGTTATTACAGTTATTTTCCAGCATGGCTCCCAGGAATGACAAATGCTTGTAGATGCTGTTCCTAATCTACATTCAAGCAACTTAAAATAAATTTCATGAACACAGACCAGGTGTGTCAAATGGCTTCACACACCTATAGATATTTCTGTCATGTACCATCATCTCCTATGAAAAATCCCTTACTAGTTTCAAAACACATTTCATCTTAATAATTTATGGAATAATATAGCAACGTGTTTCTTATAGCCTACGTATGCTGTATAACTGACAGTGAGCACATCTATACATTCGTTAATGTGCTGTTGCTAATGTGCATTAAGTTTGGTTCCTCCATTGTGAGATACTAGAAAAAGGTACATTCGCCTATTTTAATGAGAATTAGAAAAGGTGCATGTTTTTTTGTGACTCTTTAATGCACATTAAAATAGGCTAATGAGCATTCAAGTGCACAAGTAGACATTCCTAGTGACATTTAAGTTTCCAGCACCCAGATACTTCTTCTAAATTTGCATGTATTGGTGACATTTTATTGGGTTATGTTTACTGGGTTTATTGGGTTAAGGAGATTTAATTAATTATATGACTTTTGAAGAAATATTAGTTTGTTCCCTTTTTTTTTCTTCCAGTATTGCATATAAAATATATACATCTTAGAAGTAAACTTCAGCAGTTTTTTCCAGCAGCAGTTTTTATTCTGTTCTTTTCCACCATGTATTATCACTGAAACCCATGTGAATTGGTACTGAAATGTTGCCACCTGCATAGCCTGAGTTGGTAGTATCTTACATCTACTTTGAACAGATGTATGTGACTACTGAAGATGTGTAGAGCAAAAAGTCAGTCTCCAAGCTCATGGAATGGTCAAATGAAGAAGAGTTAGGTAAGAAAATTCTTCCAAAATTGGAGTCCTTGGCAGATAGTAGGTAAGTTGAGAATAAAATGCTGTTGCCCTATTTTTCAGTACCTCTGAAATCCCAATGAAGAAACCCTTAGGTTTTATCCAACTCCCAAATAAATTATAAGGAAAATTCCTTCTGACATCTATATGAGGTAGTTTTGGCCCTTAGTAAAAATTAGTCCCCAAATCCCATTTCAGTTTAGGGCATGATCCACTCCAAATGAGATCAGTGGCAGTATTACCATTGCTATCAATGGAAAGACGATCAGAGTTTTATTGGGGTAAATACCTTAACTAGGGTTGTTCTGGATCAGTAGTGGAAAAAGAATAATTCAACTGTTTCTATTTATTTCTTAGTCTATTGAGGGATGTTTGTACTGTTTGCTGTTTTATTCTTATCTCCATACTCCCTTGAATTGCTGTTAGATTGTAAGCTAAAGAACAAGGGCTTGGAGAATTGACAATAATGACATCTGTATTAAAACAAAACAAAAAATAACAACATGAAGAATATATAGCTCTAGATACAATTCTCATCTCTTTCTATCCATGTTTCACAAAAGTCATTAAATTATATTGCAGGTTCTATTTAATACTTTGCCTAACACCACAAAATGCATTTCATTTTATATTAAAGAATAAGTGGTGAATGACTCATATGTATTAATTCAGGAACATCTGCCTTCTTACAGATAAGAGAAAGGGGAAAGTCTGCTGCAGCTTTCTCCTGAAAAATCATAGTTTTCCCATATTAAATCAACATAGAAAAGTCTAAATATGATTGGTGGATTGACATTATTTCTAAACTATTCTTTTATAGATTAATGTTCATGTATTTTAATCCCAGTTGGCTATGCCCAAACTAGACGTACTTTATAATATTGATCTTCCAACTAGTTGATACTGTAATTGGAAGAAATATGTAAAGCTTTGGTTAGCTATTTAGTGTTGCATTTAAAATATGACAGTGGCAGCTTTTCAAGAGAACGTAAAGACAATTTAATTATACTGAATTCTTGAAAATTAAAGGAGAAAAAAAAGCAACAAAAAAAACCAGTACTTGTAACTCCAGAAGAGAACACTGTATATTACAAGTTGGAGAGAAATATAATTTGTTCTTTACTCCAGCATGTTATTTAAACATAAAAGTGTAACATATTGTAGGCTTGATTTATGAAATCGGTAAAAACCTAGGGGAAAAATGTTGTAATTACTTTTACACTGTGGTTGAGTTAGTTTCACCAAAAGTGATTTAGTGCCCACAAATTGAATGTTTGTGTGTCTGAATATATAATGCATACACATTCTATATTCAGCACTTTTAACCAGGAGTAGTCAATGTTGAAATTTTATTTTTAAATGCAGCGCATTTTATCCTAATTTAATTAAATTAATTTAACTAGAATAAGTGTGATAACTGTTTGGGGAAAATGTGAGTGATAGTCTACAAACATGCAGAGAGACAAAATAGAATTCTGATTTTTTTCTAAATGATTGTCCTTTTTAATAGCTGGGTGGGGTGGTGACTGAGACCATATTTTCAATTACTCTTCAGGTCATTAATGTTGATTACATTCTTCTACTAACCATAAGTCTTTATTTAATGAAAATGTATGCCACCCACTAAGCAGACATGTAGTTAGAGAACAATACAGCAGGATTTGATTGCCCTATTAACAATAATCATCATGAGACTTTGGGAGCAATAATTTAATGACTTCTTGCACTCTTGTGCTACTTTTTGGTGGTGCTCATTTAGCAATGTACTACAGTGATATCTCTAATGAAATTAAAACTTGCCAGCAGGCATTATTAGCTAGAGATAGGCAGGTATTGAAACACCACACCTAACAGAGCTCATGACTGTCATTAGAATACTTGCACACAAGGTAACTTAACTTGAACAAAGCAGGTTGGCTAATCAGAAAGTAAAGAAAAATACCTTTAATTAATTTTAGTTTTAGACCAAGTTTTCTCTCTTTGCCATTCATGATTTAACAAATCCCTAGCAAAGAGAAATGGAGCATATGGCAGATAGATGGAAGTGAACTGACTGATAAAAAATTAAGTGTACCTTGTAGGACTCAGTCCTTCTCACATTTAGGTTGATTATAGAATTCATAATCTATAACGTTTCAGGTCCGAGATGTAGAGATTTCACAGGTCCTTATCATGGGGCTCATCAGACAGGCAGAGAAAGCACCGACAAACATTCTCTACAAAGTGGATGATATGACTGCAGCCCCTATGGATGTCAGACAGTGGGTTGATACTGATGAGGCAGGCAGTGAAAACATTGTGGTGCCCCCAGGAACTTACGTGAAAGTGGCTGGACATCTTCGATCATTTCAGAATAAGAAAAGCCTGGTAGCATTTAAGATCAAGCCTTTGGAAAATATGAATGAATTCACTACACATCTGCTGGAAATAGTTAATGCACATATGATCCTCAGGAAACAGACTAAGGAAGGATCAAAAATGTTTCAATCTCTCTCCTCTCCTGGGATGGGCACTGTAAGCTATGGAGGTTTGAGTAACTTGCCAGTCAATGGACTAACTGTGCATCAAAGTCAGGTGTTGAATTTGATTAAAACCTGCTCTCTTCCAGAAGGCATGAGCCTTCAAGACCTGCAGTCTCAATTGCATAATATCAACATGACCACAATTAAACAAGCAGTTGAACACCCACTTTAATGGGTGCAGAATTACTCTCTAAAATATGATGTTATTTTACCCTCTAAAATATGATGTCAAGTTATTAGTATTAAACTGACCAAATGAGTTAGAGCACTGAAGTGAAGGGTTATGACAGGTACACAAACCTCAGTGGGTGCATCTACACAGCACGCAATGTAGCTCATCGCTATGGTGATGTAGTGTCAGCAGGCACAAACCGTGACACCGCTACTACTGTGCAGTACCACTGCTACTTGCTACTTTAGTACTTGCTGCGCAGTTGGGTTGGAAACAAATGGTGTGGTGCTAGGACTGCAGAGTACCAATGGTTACTGCACAGTCATTTAGTACTTGCTTTAGATTGTTTTAGCTTACTAAAGCAAGTATTAAATGACTGTGCAGTAATCACCAGTACTGTGCAGTCCCTTTGCTGCACAGGTCATTTCTGGCCGTACTACACAGCAAGTACTAAAGTAGCAAGTACTACTTGCTACTGCTAAAGCAAGTACTAAATGACTGTGCAGTAACAACTATGCATGTAGATGTGCCCACTTTCCCAGAGATGAGAGACACTGGTTTATTTGGATGCAAAACTATGAAGGATATTCAAAATGGTTACATGGTTTTGAAATACTGTAGAATACTTAGAAAACTGAGAAATATGGACATCTGTTATAAGTGGAGAGCACCTGACTAGGCTCTTATAAGGAGTTGGTTGAAATGTGCTGAATCTGCTTAATGTGCATAGGGGTGTGTGTGTGTGTGTGTGTAAAAGTGTGTACACAGGTTTGTTTGTGGTAGCTATAGTAGTTGGGGTTCACTCCCTTTTTGAGGGCTGACATGATGACATCAATAGGAAGTTGTCAGCTATCTTTGCGTGTGTGTTGGCAGTTACAGTGAAGCCCTTTTCAGAGCAACAAGTCTCTCAGCCTTTTCCTGAGCTATGAGATAACATAGTAGCCAACCTTTTTCTTTCTCTGTCAGTACTTTCAAGCAAGTCATATAACAAACTCAAAAGGGTTTAGATTTAGGAGCTAGATTTAGGTACAAGTCAAGCTGAACAAGACCATTAACAATTTATAAAAACTGCTCATCTACAAGGAAAGACAGTGCTCATCCACAAAGGTATTAAATCATATTTATCTACAAAGATAAGATAATGCTTACCTGCAATGGGTAAATGTCTGAAGAATAGCCTGCTATTCATGGGTCTTGGCACCATACCTAATTTTTCACTAAGATCTGCTTTTAAGAGTATTTAAAGGGACCTTTTAAGGTCTAATATTCAGGACCCCTTACTTCACGCTCTAAATTGACCAATGGGAAAGGGTCTGAACTGGTATGGAAAGTGTGTGTCTAATATGGGACAAATTGGTTCAGCTTGATATTAGGTAGCTATGTAGTCATTTATTTCTTTTTGTGGGGTGGAGAAAAACATAAATAGCTTCAGAAGTTCACAGAGAAAGAAAAGAAGTACTTGTGCTTATGCCTGTGCTATATAGTTAAGTATTCAGACATCTCCATCCTGTTCAATCTATTCCCTGAGATGATTCTCAGGCGTGTTTCAAATTTAGCCTTAAAGAAATAGTGATTTTACATGGGCTTCACTAAGCTGAGGCTTTTTGTATGGAAAAAAACTCCATCAGTAGCAGCATTGCTTTGTGCTCTGAGCATACAGGAAGGTATCCACATATGAATGGAGGAAAATTCAGATAAATGACACATTTGTGTCTCTGTGTGTTTCCAGAATGAACTATAGTTAATATCTCAATCTCCAATAAACTGGGAACTGGAGTTTGGCACCTCTGATGGAAATGTCCTCCTAAAACTTTTCTCTTTTTCTTGTATACAGAGGTAGTTTGAGTTGCCTGGCCAACTATTCTGTGGTCTGGTCGGATGGCAAAAAGCGCACATCATTCATATACTGCAGTGCTCTCAGAATTGCCAGGAATGTACATTTTATATAGCAGCTGCTGCTAGTTCTAGTATGTCTGATGTAACTGCTACTGTTTCACTAGTCTCCTTAATACCTGATCCCTTTGGCAAGTATTCAATTTCCCGAGTTGCCACTGGCTGAAAAGCTGGAGAGAAGGACAATCATACATGATTAAGAGAATATCTTTGTGATAATTTGCGCAAATTGCCAGCCAGCTGGGGATATGAATGCTCCTGTAGTGGAAAATTTAAAGAGCAAATACTCAAAAGTTCTACTCAAAAGTAGTTGGTCTGTAATGTAACTGAATTATAAGATGAGCAACAGTACAGCATGAGGAAAGCACTTGATTGTAAACAGGTAAAAAGGAATATCAGACATCCTGCATATGCCTTGGTACTCTTCAAGTTATTCACCTTCATGCTTCTTTTTTTCTTGATCCAGTTTGCTGGTGGCTAGGTTGAGGGGAGTGTTGGGAGGAATAAGCAGTAGGCCTGTGTGAATAGGGAACTATTCGATTTGGACTCAAATTCAGCCAATTTGGATGCCAGAGATTTGATTCTGAGATCCAAATAATTTTTCCAATTCGATTCGGCCGAATCACTTTGGAAGATTCACAGCCGATTCGGAGTCGATTCAGAGATTCGGCCATAGAGTATAATGGGGAATCAATGAAATATCTATAACTTTGTTGTCTTTTGGCTGACTCAGATAAAGCTTGCTGAAATGGTAGCCTCTCCTGAGGGCATGAAGCCTGCTAAGTTTCAAGGAGATAGGTGCAGGGGGCTTGGGGAAACTGCACCCCAAATCTTGAAAGCAAAACTTGTGTCACATGTATGTGTTAAGCCACAGCGAGGTGAAAATTGCAGGAATGGTAGCTTGTGATGAGGCCACAAAGTCTGACAAGTTGCAAGGAGATAGGTGCAGGGAAACTGTACCTCAAGCTTTGGATGAGCAAAACTCATGACATGGGTGACACTGTGTGTGTTAAGGCACAGCAGGGTGAAAGCTGCAGACCTACTAGCCCCTGATGAGGCCATGAAGTCTGCCAGCTTTCAAGGAGATAAGTACAGAGGTTTCTGTGTTCTGGGGCCCTGCACCTCTAGCTGCTGACAGGCAAAACTCATGACATGGGTACTTGTGCAACTGTGTCTGTCTTGGGGCACAGGCGCGGGGGAAACTACTGCTGGCTTTGATGCTAGGCCCTGCTATGGCCACAAAGCTTGCCAGCTGTTAAGGAAATAGGTGCAGGGGGGTTCTGGGGCCCTCCACCCCTAGCTGCTGACAGGCAAAGCTCATGCCATGGGTGCTTGTGTAACTGACTGTCTCTGTCTTGAGGCAGAAGCAGTTCCCTGCTCTGTATTGCTTCTTTCTTCTCCTTAGGTTGTGATTTTGTAGGTGTTAATCCTTGCTCGTTAACTTTTTATCCTCGCTAGCTACTGTGTATTGAGCTGATCCCTAAGTGAATCATGATAGATTGGTAACACAATAGCTTAGCAGCCTGGCCTGCAGTAGTTCTCCCCCCGCTTCCCCAACCCATGCCCCAAGACGGACACAGTTTCACAAGCGCCCATGACATGAGTTTTGCCTATCAGCAACCAGAGGTTTCCAGGCCCAGAACCCAGAAGCCCCTGCACCTATCTCCTTGAAAACTGGCAGACTTTGTGGCCTCAGAAGGGGCTAGTAGGCCTGCAGCTTTCACCCTGCTGCACCTTAACACACACACTGTCACCCATGTCACGAGTTTTGCTTGTCCTCAGCTTGAGGTACAATTTCCCAGAAATCCCTGCACCTATTTCCTTGCAATTTGGCAGGCTTTGTGGCCTGAGCAAGAGCCACTATCTCTCAAGTTTTCACTCCACTGTGGCTTAACACACACACACATTACATGATTTTTTCTTTCAGGATTTTGAGGTGCAGTTTCCCAGAAAACCCCCACACCTAACATGCTGAAACCTAGCACACCTCATAAACTCGACAGAGGCTACCATCCCTGTAAGTTTCAACTGAATCAGCCAAAAGACAACAAAGTTATAGATATTTCATTGTTTCTCCGTTTTACCCTATGGCCAAAACTCTGAATTGCCGAATCTTTTCTGAATCTTTTCCAAATCGATTCGGAAGCTCCAAATCAATTCAGAAAGCCTAAAGCTTTCAGAGATTTGATTCATATTTGTAGATTCAGCCTCTGAATCATCTCCAGATCTGAATCGTGATCCAAAGCTTTGCACAGCCCTAGTAAGCAGTGATAGAGGAGAAAGGCTTTGGATTGAAAGTTGGCTATTATCCAAAAAAGTGATGTAGTTGCCAAAGCTTGGTGGATAAAGGATGAGTCTACACGTAGATTTAGGTACACCTAAATTTAATGTGCATTAGCTTAATGCACATTAAGGTATTTAGACTTACATCTACATGTGCACACATTAACGCTGTATATGCAGTACCTTGTTTTTCATGAAGTTGGCAGTGGGTACATCTACAAGAGCAATTAATGTGACTGAATATACTATGGATCAGTTTGAGCTAAAGGAAACTAATCTCCATTTTATGGTCTATACATTTGTTTGAGCACAGTCATTTACTGCACTGCTGGATACCACTTGTATCTGCCAGGACTATCTGGCAGTGCAGTAAATTAGTCTACTGCACCCTAATTGCTGTGTGCATGTACACAACGACTCTTTACTGAACATACCTATTTCCTTCAACATCTCCTCATATGACTTGTCTTCAGGGGCAGATCCAGGGGGGATACACTGGTGCACTTGCACCCCGTGTTGATTTCTGCTCTACCCAAAAGTTAAAACCAACTGCCTCACAGAGGCAGCAGCATTCTTAGTCAGGACGTGCTGAGGTAATAAATTGACTTCTTGACTCATTATAATCTACCTGATCCCATCTAAACTCCTCATTCCACATGTGTTAACTGTAAGGCTCATGCCCTGGGTCACCGCTATAAGGCTTAGGCAAGCTCCTGCCCTGTACCCCTTGTTAGGCATGCTGATCCACTTAATACTAATCAAGGCCAGCTGGCCACCAGCCCCTTCCCTCTGATTGGTTCTGGAGACACATTTAAGGAACTCTC